CCCTCGGTCTCATCACCTACGGCTACAACATCATGAAGGTCATGGGCAACAAGCTCACCTACCACTCCCCATCCCGTGGCTCCTCCATGGAAATGGGTGCCGCCATCTGTGTCCTCGTCTTCTCCCAGTACTCCCTGCCCGTCTCCACCAGTATGTGCATCACCGGTGCCACCGTCGGCGTCGGTCTCTGCAACGGCACCTTCAGAGCCGTCAACTGGCAGCGAGTAGGCCTCTTGCTGCTTGCCTGGATCATGACCATCCCCGTCGCTGGAACCATCGGTGGTGTCCTCATGGGTCTCTTCCTTAACGCCCCTCACTTCTAAACGCCATCTCCCTCCCTTTCTCTCTCTCTCTCTCTCTCTCTTTATTTCCCTTGTATTTTCATTTGCATCTTTTTCTTCATCTTTTCTCAACTGGCTTGATGACTTGACTCGTTGCGCGCCCGACCACATCCGGACATCTCATCTGAAATTTCCCCAACCGCTTTTCCTTTCTCATCTTGTAATAAAAACGCCCTGAACGCGACCCGTCATAAGATACCACCTCTACCTAACCTACCATTATCTAATAAAAACATCAAACGATTTCTTCTCTGACTTCGTTCTCATCATCTTCTTTCCCTATTACTCCATCAGTATCATTCAAGCAAAACAACATCTATGCATGTCTTCAGTGTAAACAAGCTTCGTACTCGCCTATTCCACCCATGAAGCCAAACCATCCAACACCTCAAATCACACTGCATCAAGATATGTAATACCAGACGAACACATCAAAGTACCCATTTTTGCAACCTCCGCATCTCGGGTAAGATCAGATAGTGGATCGCAGACGCAAAGTAAACAGTCCCCTGCCATGTCATATCGCATCTTGCATGCATAAGTTTTCGGTTTCGTCTCCATGCTCATGCTGCATTCCCACTCTTTTCCCGCCCCTCTTACCCGCCATGCCTGTCCCTGCGCCCTACTTAAGTTGCCAAAAACTCAACTTAAGCTTTTTCTCCCTTTCTCTCGTCATTCTCGCTTTCCTCCTGCGAAACAGGGTATATGTGCACGCGACGACCAAGTCTGTTCTGGCATGGGACGGCATTTTGGTATCGCACCGGTTCGTTCGTGTCCATTTCGGTAGTTCGGTTGGAACATGGTGGTTGGCGCGGTAAGCGAGAAATTACTTCACCCCCCTGCTCCTGGCTCGCTTTTGTCTGGACTAGGCGACGGTTGGTGTGGTGTATCGTGGTTTCAGTTTGGCTCCTCTTGAGCTAGGAATATGTGTGTATTCTGCGGTCGTCGGGTTGAAGGAGATGTATATCTGGGGTTTGATGATGTCCGCCTTCGTCGAGGCGGAGAAGGTGATGTCGAAATAAACTTGGGCTTGTCACGTTGATCTTCCGTTAAAGCGGGGCAAGGTGGAAGGTGATTGGTTGTATGCTTAGTCAGCGTGCAAAGTATTGTTACATTTCTTATCTCTACGTTGGACAAGCATGAGGGCGAATATATATATATTTGATAAATTTGATAAATAGACTCGTTAAGAAATACAAGGGGCGCGTGGGGTCCTGGCAAAATATGAAGAAGGCTGTGTTATACTTGACAAGTTAAGGCCTACTCCCTTTCAACTATTGTCGTTGACTGTCTCCTGGGGTTAGCCCCTTGTAAGACTTCCTACGGGCTATGGGCGCGTATGGCTATCTTTGGTGAATAGAATGAGGTTGATTCTCTATCTACGGTGGAAGCTAGCCCTCCTTTCTACGTACATGACTGTGGTACTACATGGGTACGTACCGTAGTAACAACCACCTCACTTTCCTAAGTTCGTAGCACTCCAATTCTGGTATATTTGGGCCAAGTCACCTACGTGACCTCTCGTTATCCTTGTGTTAGTATGGGGATGCCGCAACCCCCCTAGTGCAATTCGCCGCGGGTTAATCATCTGGAACCCACTTGAGTATCAGTTAGTATGTATTTCATATCCCGGTGTGCTGCTGCTTCTGTTACTGTTTGTTGCATTTTCGAGCCTTCTTTCCATACTTATAGAGTAAAACTCTAACATGGTAATTAAACAGCCAAATACTCGGAATGCTGGTTAGCTGTAATATGGCTGGAATTTGTGGGAAAGAATAAGCCTTGGAACACGCAGGTTTAGAGGTACATCGGTCGGAAATATCGTTATCCACTAGATAAGGAAGGGGAAGCCAGGCTGAGAAGACGCGGGATGGTACGGGATTGGAGTATCTCGTAAGTGATATGCTACCATATGTTGGGGTGATGTCAGCGGCATGAAGTTATCCTTATGTGCCATCGTAGACATCATCTCAGACGGGCCATCGGCATCAGAAGGACAAGCAGTTGGTTTATGATCTGGCCAGGCGTAGTGTTAAAGAGGCTCTCGAGCTATGAAGATTGCTTTAGTTGCTCTGTGGGTATCAAAGCTTTCCGAAGTAGGCCAACCATGCGCAGTACGTAACTGCATCAAGTCAACCAAGGGTGGGAGAGCCACATGCATGTGTCCGAGTAACCAAACCTGCTCGTCATTGATGGGTTCGCTCTTAGGTAGTTAATATTTGACACGCAGCGGAGGTTGTGGAGAAGAACGAGAACTTGAAATCGAAGCTGAAGAATGAGCCATATTTATAGGGCTTACTTTGCGCCGCATTCACCACTCCGTATCTTCACTGTGTTTACTTCACTGGCTTCCCCTTCACTGTGCGAGGAGAGCCGCCATGAGTAAGCATTGGAATAACCCAAACTAGGCCTAAAGCAGGCATTTATCGACCGGGATATCACATGACACAGATAAATCCGGACTTTATCATGTGACCCACAAATAGCAAGTGGGCCCCTTACCCCTGATTCTGCAACATAAAACTCTGCTCAACTCTATATCTAGCACATACGACCACAGGAAGTGGAAAACAGAGCTTCCCGTCCGCTCAGCTGTACTTAAGCCACTTGCCGGTCGGTTAGTAGTTGGGGGGGTGACCACCAGCGAATCCCGACTGTCGTATGTTTTTTGATCACCCATTTTTTTTGTTTCCTCTCGATAAATATTGCTTTTTCACCACCCCCTGGATATAGCCTACATGAAGCCACCCGAACTCGCCCGCGCAGCAGGTGCATCATTATTTGAGGCGGCACAATCATACAGATCATATTACTGCCTCCTATCATGGTCATGATTAGCTACGGAGTACGTAAGTAAACTTATCGGAGTGGATAGATGATATTACTATTCTGCTTTTGTACGGAGTAACATATTCATCGATCTCGACCTCCCCTGAACGACTCCTGAACGATTCCTGAACCATTTTGGCGATGTAGACGAAACGCAATATAACTAGTATACTAATTTTTCACCGACTCGATTCTCCTGCCAGCGCCGCGCATATATATATATATTGCAGAGCTAAATACCGAAGTCAGTGCAAGCTAGGCTACTTGAAACATTTCTTGAGTAGCCCTTGGACGAGGCTATCCTTGCGCACGAATTCTTGCGAAAAGCTCTTAAGGCCATCAGGCTTGAGTGCACGGCGCACATTCGCCGCCTTTTTGAATGCTTCACGTGCCCCCCTGACCTGGACACCTTCAGCCCCGATCAGTAGACCGAGAATGGCAAAAGGAGCTGCCGCCGGATTCTCGACAATATCAACGATTGAAAGAGCAGCGTTGCCAATCTCACCAATGATAAGGGCGGCCGTAGCAAACCTGGTAGCGATGCCAACTGCCTGTCCTGCAAATCCCACAAAAGGTATAATCGAAAAAACAATGGATAGAATGTTAAGGATAAGCTCCTTCTTCTTTGTATCATGATGCTCTTTGCCAATCTTTTTGATTTCCTCGATCGATTTGGAAGCGTCTTGCAGCATAAAAACAGGCATGCTGAGGGATGTGATAACATCGGTAATGTCAGCATCCAAGATCCCCATACTCAGCTCGTAGGAGGTTATATATGCAAGATCCACCATATCATCTATATGAGGAATTGCTTTCTCGATTAGATCCTTGGGGTCCTCGACTTTGATCTTATTCTTATCCGGAATGCGGCTGGGCACATTCACATACTTGATGTAGTTGTCGGCGCAAGGTTTTGGTGGGCAGAACTCATTCTTTGGAGGGCAAGTGGGACAGTAATCCGGCTCGGTAATTGTTGTCCATTCAATCCACTCCTTACTGATGCCAGCGTCTTTCATGAGGGCATTGTAAAACCCTTCCTCGTCTCTCAAGGTATACTCAACAGTGCGGCCTCCAGGGTCGGCGTGGTCCGGGTCGTAGAGGTTCACTTCTGTGCAAGGACCTTGTCCCTTCGCATAAGGTGTAGACCACTTACAGTCCATGTATTTGAGACCCTCGCCAGTTTTTAAAGCCGTGAACTTCATCAAACGGGGTTCGATAGAGTCCTTCACCCAGTCGGCGTACCACTCAAACTATCTTGCGTTAGTCTGGATTCATTAAAGATAAGCAAAGAAAAGGTTCAAGGAATGCTGGCATCGATGGCATACCCTTTGCTTATAATCATCTGAAGACGAAACTTCCCTGTACTTATCAACGGCGCCTGCAAGCTCCTTAGTTAATATATCCATCAGGGCCATGCCACGGCAATGTATCGGCACCTTGCCGATATTTGCGTCTAAGTCCTCGAGGGTCTTGGGCCATGCGTTTCGATCACAGTCGAGATTATCTGGTTCAACTGTCCAACCTATGGTTCCGTTTTCCTTGATTCCAGAAAACCAACCTCCTAAATCAAGGGCCCAGTCGCTAATTCCGCCCATATTTAGACCTTGAATCCATGAAATTCGCTTTGCTTTAGTGTTATCATCCATATATGCAACCCAATCAGTCATGCCATGACCCTGTGTGCCGTCTAAATAGTTAAGTCAGCCAATTATAATATGTATAAACAACAACAGGTATAAAGTGATTGATTGGGAGATGGCTCGTATCCATTGGCTGGAGACAATTCAACATACTATATCATAGTTAGCAAGGTCCAAAGTTATATAGAACTTAGTGAGCTAACCAGGTCATAATATCTGAGTCCGTCTCTGCATCATACCACTTCTTAGCTTCAAATCCCTTTTCTCCTTTGTCGGTATACTCAAGAATTTTCTGGAGCTCGGCATTTGCAACTGCCGTATTCAAGTCAGTGGCCTTCATTGACTTAGTAGAAACTATGAACGAAATAAAGATGTTTGAACTCACTATAACCACCCGTGCCAGTGCACTGACCTGGCTCTGCCTCTGAATGTCCATAAGAACCAGTAAATGTACACCGCGGGCCAGTACAACTTGGGTCTGACATTCGAAAGCTTCGCCCGTAGCTAGAAACACCCACGAAGACCTTTTCAGGTACCACACCAGCCTTTGTGATCATAGCAAGGGCGCTATATGTCTCTGTGCGGTTAATATGTGAACGAAGGCAATTCCCATTCGGACATCCAGGGTTTGAAAACTTGTTCCCGTAATCTAGACCTTTGATTAGAGTCTCTTTGTTGGCGATTAATTTTACGGAATTTGGGAGTATACATACCCCACTGACCATGAAGATCATACGTCATGTAAATGAAGTAATCAACGACCACTGAAATTGCACGGACTGGGAAGGGTTTGAGGTACCAGTATGATGCTGGAATAGCAATGGAAAGAGATCGTGATCCTGGGGCGGTTCCGAGAAGGACTCGTAATTGCGTAAGAAATCTGTAATAATTTTCTGCGTCGTAGGGGTTTGATGCCGGAATCCCTTGGTCCGTGGCACCAGGGTACTCCCAGTCAAAATCAATGCCGTCCAGATTATGGCTATCAAGAAACTTTACAACGTTTTGAGCGAATATATACCGGTTCTTTGGGCTTACAGCCTCCCGATAGCGACTGTAGGTTCCAGGTTCCGTTGACTCGGCCCATCCACCCACAGATAAGATCTTTTTGAAGGGTGCCTTCATCGAATTAAATAAATCGAATTGCTCCCGAATATTGTCTCCAATATTGATGTTGAAGTCCTCAGTAAGACCTGCAAATGCAAAATGCACGTGGGTTAGGTCTTTAAAATTCTCCTCGATCTTTCTAGCGTCAAGGTATAAACAGTCCCGGTGGAAGTTATAAGCCTGAAAGTAACCGACCCGAGCAAAACTACCTCCCGGAGTCTTATTGCCCACAATTTTAGTACCACAATTGGAGATACAGCCATTAGTACCATGTTTAAAAGAACCAGGGGCACCTGTATCAGCCGGAGACTCTGTGCAGAATTCAGCAGTTATACCACAAAAGCCCCAGCCTGAGCAACACGCATTCAAAGGGCATGGATTGAGCTTTGCTAGATCCCGTCCATCAAATTTGCCGGAGGGTTTCTTAGTTCCAGGTTTCTGCGGGCCGCAATCAACTCCAGCAATTTCGGCTGGCATAGGGGTATTTCCTTTACTAAGGCAGATAACTTGGCCAGGCTGAAGTCTGTTACAGCCAGCCCAGCCCCAGGTCCCCTTATTTAGTTTGTCTATATCGTTCACCGTAATCCCGTAGTTGTCAGCGATAGCAAAGCAGCCATCTCCGACAACGACAGTATGTGTAGCACATGTGCCGTCAGGTTGGGGCTTTGGTCTTCTATCCGGAAGAGTGCCTCCCGAGCAGCAAACCCACTGCTTTGGCATTAGGGTTGAGCAGAGATTTGTCACAGGGTTGAGTTTGAGGAAATCGCTGCCGCGAATACCGCATCGTACTGATAATGCCGTGCAGCTGTCCCCTGCGCCGACTTGGATGGCTCTGCAGTCCGCTCTAATTGCGAGTGAGTGAAAACCAGACTTTGCGTGCGGTAACATTGGTCGGGTATGGCGCCATATTGGCCGGGTATCCAGGTCAGTGAGATTGTTAGGCTCACCAGCAGTGAGAACACCTAGCTCAGCAATGGTTGCAAGGACTCTACTCCTGGGAAAATAAAGACACCCCCCGTTAGCCCATTGTTTCAATGCGCTTTGGACCATATACAGGTCCTCGGTTTTTTCAACCGCAAACAAGCCAACAGTGCGTGCTTCTCTGATTGAGGTATTACACGTCTGTATAGCCTGGGCCCCCTTTTTGAGAACAACACCTATAATAAAAAAAATTAGACACACGGAGTATACTATCGGGGCCAGAATAAAGAACGACAAAAAGAGAAAATTGTAAAATAGGTATTACTCCCAACCGGTAATTATATCCAAAGTTTACCGCACTTATTCGGAAAGAGGTAAACGGGGGGTTCCTTACTAAGTAGCGTAGGCCACGAAGTTAGCTTCTGCGACATGACACTATGAAGTTTAAAATCTTACCCGAATTTATTGATAGTTTTAGCAGCTGCAGTAATCTGGATATCCGCACCAATATATAGACCAACGACCACGGAGCCCAGTTTGGCGAGAAGAATTTTTTCACCGCAAGAAGCACTATTGGCAAGGTGGGATGACAATATGCTAACAGCGGAGGCAGTATCATCCCCTGGCGTGAGAATGGATGGGTTGATGGTGAAGAGTACATCTATAATGACCCCTTTAGCACCACAAATGGATGATGAGGAGACGGGTGTCATAGTATTGGGTATTAAATCCTCAGTTTCAGCTGTCACATTCTTTGTGGTATTGTTTGAGTGGTTTGTAACGGGGATGGATGAGGCAGCACGCTTGGGTATTGGCTTTTCGGAGCTAGCTGTGCAGGCGCGGATTATAGGATATCTGGTCTCAGTACTTTGAACGTTAAGGTCGAACAGTAGCGGCAATCTGCAATCCGTGAGGGCTGGCTGGGTGTATAGAAGTGTCCAATTGGCAGGATCAGAACCTACGACGCTACAGGGCTGAGGACATCCATCGATGAGTCTCGAGATCCACGGATCATCAATCTCGCCAGGTCCCAACTGAGTTATTGGGACGGTTCCTAGACCGAATTGATGTTCCGTTGACTTGAAGCCTGTGGCTTTGAAGACTGTTGGATAAGTCTCGATTCCAGGTTGTGTATGGTTCCAGCTTGCTGCCTTGACGGTAAGGAACAAAAAGAGCGTAAGAAATGAGAATCTCCCCATGGTGGAAGTACCACAGGTTGAAAGCGAGTGGTGCAAATTTGGTTGGCCTCACAGATGACCTTGAGGTAAGGCCAGGTCATAGTCCTATTTTAATGTCATTATGAAGCCAGCTGTGACGTCCTTTTTTCTACACGGGCTGAAGTGCACCAGCATTATCCTCTTTAGGCCTCCGACGCCTTGCTGCCAACACGGCAACAGGAATGGGGCCAAGTATTTCCGTGCAGAAAAAGAGAGATACCAACCAACGCCGCAGTCGGGGTTCGGCCATGAGTGATACCTGCTCCTATCCGTAACTGAATCCCTGGAAGAAAAAGAGAAACATAACCAATAGCTAGCCTAGCCTGCAGGGTTGAAGGGAAATACAGGCTTGCCAACTTCAAAAGCAAATATGTATGCAGGCCACATATTTTCCATGCATCTACCCCCAGCTGTCAGGTGAATTTCAAAATATCATCTTGGCCGAGTTACGCTGGACCGTTAGCGCGGCGCGATGCATGTTCGCTGGTCGCCCTTGCCATGTCGTTATACCAAGCAATCTTGGCGCGCGATCCCGTCGGGCGCTAGTGAACCTAGCTAACCCTAATCTTATTATCCAGCCAATAATCTTCGGGATTCTAAATATAAAGGCGGAGCACTAATAACACTAAATGTGTGGGCATATATATACATATTCCCGCGCATACACCAAGGTCACCCTGGCCACAGGTGCAATTAGTTCTACTGTTGTCCAGCATGGCCCTCCGCCCCCATTCCACTAGGGGGCCAGGTACCACATAGCAATGTAACCTGCAATTGAACTGCCTGCCGGCAACTCAACGAGGGTGACCTAACTAAACCATATGCCTATTACGATACGATTAGTATCAACCCCTGGCCCTGGCAGGCCCTCGCATTACATCCAAGCGAACTCGGAAATTGCATTGTTTTGAGTAGCATTAGCAGTATGGGCTGGACTTGGGGCCTGCCTTCCGTCCTATGACTAGTGTCACCGCCGTGTGACAAGTAAATGATGATATTGATCCTTTTCCATACATATTATCCCTCTTGACAGGTCTATATTCTTATTGCGTAAATCAGATAGGTCTTTCAAACTAGAAATACCAAACGGCCACTCTTCTCAATTTGTCATTTACTCTACCATTATACCCATCAATTCCAATTGTGAAGCTAGGCATCCTCAACATGCGCGGTATACTGATTACTTTCCTCCTTACCTGGCTGCTATCTCTTTCCAGTTATGCTACGGGGGACAAACCAAAGATCACAGACAGTCAAGTAGCCCACGTCTTTGAGCGAATCTGGCTGTGGGAAATGTATGATTTTATCTGGTAAGGTCTGCCATCGTTCTTAGCTTTTAGTTTAGCCGCATCGAATTTGCTAATTACTTAAATTAATAATTGTTAGTGATCTTGAAAGCCCCGTTAAGCAAGGAAAGATCTTTCCTCACGACAAAACATACAACGACTGGAAACTCAATATAGGAAAAAAAAGAAAGGATAAAAGACTCACCTATGCCGAGTTTCAGAAACGATTGCAGGGAGGAAACCCTCATGACGGCACACTACCCACAATAGACTCTCCCGCTGATGGAGACCCTTTTAAGTCAGCCAAACAACTACTAGACCTTAGATGGCATGGCGAATTTGCACCACATGAGGTTGACCCATCGCTCCCGAAACCTAAGAAGCCGGATCTTGAGGGTCTTAATACCAAGAACTATCTGGCTCTCGTTGGCAAGATAGAGAAGGAGTATTCAAAATTTCGCATCGGCCTAGTGAAACACCCTTTTGGCAATGTAGACGATCCGGTCCGCATCCAGCGCATTGCGACCACTACCAAGGCTATCCAGACCTTTCGCTACCAGAGCAGGGTCCAGTATGTCGCCGGTTCCGTTACATCGACTGATGAAGGAGGGCTCGGGTTGGCGAAGGTGAAAACAGATAAACACCCGACGGCGCTGACATATAACGGCACACCACTAGGCCCCGCGGATTATGAGAAGACAAATTATGTAGAGACATACAAGGCAAACTGCATAGGTGAAGATGAAACAAGACCAGGTCCAGAGCTGAAAGCTCTAGGGGTCAAAAGCAAGAAAGATTTTACCGAGATCGTACGTCTAACTCCCCAGTATTAACTGCAAAACTATTCTGACTCGAGAAAAGATGAGTGACTTTGGTCGCGACTACGACGAGTACTCCTCTCGAAGCGACAAGAACCATCTTCTCGTTCTCAAGAGGTGGACCCAAGTTAATGATAAAGCCCATAAGTCGGCGGAGGAACTCAAACAATGCAAGTGAGCTAGATAACATATTCGAAGATAGGATCACTATATATTTAGCCTGTGACCAAACAAATAACTAGGCGGTTAGATGTTTGTTATATGCAGGGTTGTTAGCTACTTAGATGTAACTACAGAAGGGATTCTTTGTTTAGTCACAGTTATAACTACCCTGTCAACTACCCAAACTGGTTAGAGCAGCCGAGTAGCCAACCGAGTTCTGTGACTATTTAAATTGGCCAGCAGCTCGCACTTTTGTCCTCAGCAAACAACGCCAGCACAACCTCACCAAAGGAAACAGAACCCATTAACACGACCAACAGAAGCAAAACACGATGCACGGAGGAGTGCTAGAAGGTGAAGAGAAAAGATGCGACTGTGATGATATATTCTGCTACCTGGACGCAGACGAATGCATCGAGTACCAGGCCTATCAAGCCCGGCTCATCGCTGCCCTTCGAGGTGAACAGGTGCCAGACGAAGAACACCTTGACAATCAATACTACGCCCCTCTTTGTCTTATTCGAGGCATCCGCTGTCACTATGAGTTTGCAGCCAGCTCCGCCGTGAAGGATGTTTGCGTCTCCCGTCCGGCTCTCGCCCGCGCCCGCAACGCTCGCCTTATCATGAGCAACGTGATACCTGGGCCTGAAGACATGGACGACACTGACCGGACCAGACACCCCTACTGTATCTGGAATCCTGATATTGCGGCCGAAGATACCTATCGCCAGTTAGCCCAGCACTTCCCGTCAATGCGCTATCAGGTAGGCCGCGCCTGCGCCGCTGCCGGATACGATGGCCTATATGCAGAATTAGACCTGTTGCCAGACGTTTCAATCGCCGAGGAGGCGAGGGAGAGCGAGACACCGGGCGGGCAGGCCATCTTCAAGATGATAATGGCTGCCCCCTATCGCTATGCTATTATGAATGATTATGACCTGTCTATCAACCTTGATAGTAAGAACCCTGGCGCTCCCGCATTCTTGAACGGCCACACAACTGTGCGGTGGAAACTTCAACACCGTAAGGAGTTACGACAAGAGGCATACAATTTTAGAATCTGGAGGGCGAGGACATGGAAATGGAGCATTGAAGAAGACGACCATATTGATGAAAAGGAGTCGCGCTGGCCTGACAAGTACAATATCCTCACTCCAGAGGAGGTTCAACTTCTTTACACCCCTCTCCCTCAGGATCTACCAACCATGAAGAAAGACCTTCTCATTCAAATGGCAGCTTACGACGGCAACGTAGACCGCTATGCTCGCCTGGCATCATACTGGCCGATGGATGAAGTTGAGCGAGTCTGCGTGATACGAGGAATTTACTACAACACAATGTTTGCGCGCTTCTGGACCGAGGAGATAAAGAAAAATACCCGACGTGTGCAAGGGCTCAAAAACAACGGGTTATCACTTATCAAGGAGGCTATCTCTGCTCGCCGCATTATGATCAACGACGTTGAAGAATTCATTAACGGATGGCCGGAGGATGAGCCACAGCCAAGGGTTATCTGGAAGCCCCTGAAGCCGTGTGAACATGTACTCAAACTGCTCGCGGAAAGAGTTCCCTCAATGAAAAAGACAGCTGCGCTTGCATGTATATTCTGTGACTACGAAGACGCTTACAATGAGATCAACTGTACGCCACACCCCGACCTCGCCATGGCAGCAAAAGAATCTCGTAATCCGTTCTACATTCGAGACATTGAGCAACGGGCTGCAGAACAGGGTATTGACCTTTACAAAAGCTACGTTATGCCAATATGGCTAGATGAGAGCCTGGAGATCCTTAAGTCACACAGTATGTATGCAAATTTAACAAACGGTATGGGACTGCACTGGAGCGATGAGATCATGAAGAAATTTTCCAGCATTTTTGGAGGAGATGTCCCTGAAGATTATCCGGTTCAATTATACGTATGGGCATCACCCGAGAGACTCCGACTGCTCGATATTTGCGAGACAAGCTGTCCTTGCCCTGCGAGGTACTACCCTGACTACGAGGAGAACTGGGAGGAATACGTTGAACGTGCCAAACTACGCAAAGAACGCATGAGACGACAGGAAAAACGTAGAAAGGTCCGGGCGGCTGCCGCGCTTAGACGGCCCGGGGAGAGTGAAGATGCCTGGAAGGCCAGACAAAGTGTATATTTCTACAAGTACAATGGGCGCGTGCGCGCAGGGGAACCTGAATGGGTTGAAATTGCTCGGAAGGCCAAAGAAAAATATGAAGCCATTGTTGCCAATGAGGGCGGGGAGGTTAGCGAACATGAAGTTTCCTCTCCTGATTCAATTGTTGGGTGGAGCTAGTAGCCATTTAGTTATTCAATGATTCCTTCTCTTCATTCTCTCCATGCAGCACTGTCAGCTCAGACTACCTGGTAGATAGGCTAATGTAACCCAAGACATAGTACGCATATTTCATGATTGTTTGTATCATGCCTTGCCCGCATGGGGATAGGAGGCCGGTCTACTCGGTGTAGCCCCTTTTCAAGACACCAATGGGCGTGGTGATTAAAAAGACTCCGTAAATGCAGCTAATCAACGGTATGTATGAATCTCCTGACTGACTGAATCGCAAGGTTGTCCGTTGTCCCTTGCACCATGCCTGCCGCAGCATCATATGAGTCATGGGCAGGGGGTTTGATATATATTCCGCCTAGTATAACTAAACTTCCAGACAAGGATTAAGAAGTGCATACTTTTCCCAGTGA